CACCTTATTGCCACCAACAAGTGGCCAGGTAAAAAGAATGCAAAACCCTGCCATCATGTTTGAGGTAGCCAAGCACACAGAGTGGCCACGGCATCCAAGAGCCTAATTCAGACCTTCGAAGGACGTCAAGGCTATACCCCTCATCACAACTCGATGTTATTATATGCAAAATCCAGGCCATACCCGACTAGCTATGGCCACTTGAAGACGATAGCCGTAAGTGATGACGATGCAGGACTGCCTCAATGGCTGTTCATGAAATACCGGTTCCGCTAACCGATCACTCACATAAAACCATCACTTTCATGATATCAGTCTGTGGAGTGGCTGGTATTTTAAGTTGCTCATGAGAAATTGCAGACCAGCGAAGCTTGAAGATTGCCGGGATCAGCCCACCTAAAATCCACCCTTGACCTAAGACCGATTGCAATCCAATTTCGCCTAATCGCATCACCTGTAGAAGTCTTTGTGGATAAATAAGAGGTTACAGGTTAAATGAGAGGTGCAATACGGCTACGTGCAGCAGGCTGAGACCCGTCAGGTATAATGACGGGTGGATACCCCCAGTCTGTGTTGGTCACACAGGCAAAAGCTAGTGACCCAAGCACGCCACACTTTGGAACCTCTACTATCGTGGCCTCTGTAGAAACCGTAGGTCACGGAACTCCGGGACCGAAGCGAGTCCAGTTCTGCGAGAATGGGTTATCCAGCGTTATAGCTAAGACACGGCGCTGCTCGCCACATAGAGGAGCTCATCCAGGCTGCTTCACCTACCTGTCACATGCCAACGTGTACCAATAGCAGGACCCAGAGGAAAAATAGTGGAGATGAAAAATCAAAGACAGCTAGCTTAACGACTTCTCACTCTTAACTGAACCCTGTCTTACCCCGAATATTTCTGACAAGAAGAGTCATAAAGTGGAAATGTAACCCCCCAACAGGAGCAGCGAACTCCAGTCATTAGACAGGAGTGAGTGGCGATGCAGTTCTTACTCAACTACTCGTGACACTATCTCACTTTGTCACGCAAGGGACCTATTGAAGTCTTTAAGACTTCTTACTGCGGGGAATAATCAGTAACGCCATTCTGTTTGAAACAGGCAGAATACCACTCTGCAATCATTACTGGAGAATTCAGAGCGTTGCCAATTGACCCTGAGAAGGAGGGTAATGTCGCGTGTTTGGTAGATAGGGATAGTTGCCCAGTCTCCGCGCCTGGGTTTGAGGCTTTTTGGCACTCCTCATCAAGTGATATGCTGTTGGAAATTAGAATCCCAATTATTCGGTGCTGTACTCAGGGCCCTACCACTGAGCTATTCAGGCCGTGACTGATCTCCTAAAGTGTTGGACTAGGTTTTTGATTGTTTGGTAAAAAGCGACCAACTTCTCGCAGTCTGACTGTGAGTGGTGAGTTAAAAGGAGGCTTCAGCCTCAGGGGGTCGTGACAAAGACAGTTGCCGAAATAAGGAGGAATATATGCAGGCGAACTGAAAAAATGGATCTATTCCCATCAGGCCACAGTAGAAAGTGGCAGTTATCTTATTACAACTTGTAAGATCGCCAAAAGGTGGATCACGTGTACAAAGTCACCCCAACGGCAAATTAGAAGTCATCATTTGGGTACCCCACCAAAACAGGAAGCCGAAATGACAATACCAGACTCATGCCAAGCTTCTTTTCTTCAAGAGTATGGACCTCACGGAATCCCTTACACTTACTTTTAGTTACGGCTATCAGTGGAATTACACCAAAGAAAACCGGACAAGTACTTCGTCCCATATGGCTAGCCGGCGATACATATGAAGGACTACTGGCTGCACCAAAGGATCAAACACTCCCTTTGGCCTTTTGCAATTTCGAAACCCTTCTTTTCATTGGTAATCCACAGTCTGTTTGTTTCCACCAACCTACTCTGCGCCCCAACTTCTCTTTGAAAGTTACCTTCCTCCTATACACATCCATGCTCTAAGAGTCACAAGAACACCAGAAACCCTCCCAGCGGCTCACGTTTACCTAGCAAGCTTAGTATGCGGGTCGTGAGACAAGGACCCTAATGGAAAACTTAGCTCTACTTCAAAACTGCGTGGGAAAAGTGGATTGCATATAACCTCAGAAACGTAGGGCGATACATCTAAGACACGATGCATTTTGTGCGTATAGCCCTGATTGCGATCTTGAAACGTCGCTGATGGAAAGGGATCTGGGCACTTTAGGCCCTGGAAACCAGAAATCCTGTGCCTTGGCCTTGGTAACTCTTAGACTAATTTCTGAACTACTCCACAGTAAATAGTTGTAGCAGGTTTTCAACGATCTCGATGCGGATTCGGGGCAACAGTCTCCTCTTCTACTTCCTGCAAGAGGATAAAATAAGTTCTCAACTTATCTACAGGCGGTCGGCTGAATCCGTTCTGGGGGCTGCTGATAGGATCTGATTTATATCTAGGAGAATACAGAAAGGGATTCAGGGGAGATTTGATGACAGAACGTCATATCCTAAACGTCCTTGGCCACCCGTTCCATCACTTGATAAAACTTAGTTCTAACGCAAAACTAAGTTTCTCTGCGTCCGAAGGAACAAAATGTCCTGGTGGTGCTCCCCAAAGTTCGTGGCTGGGGCCCCTTCCTTTTCTGACGTGCATAAACGACCTGCCTTAACAAGCTTCCCCCGAAATCCATTCTTTTTGCTGATAAAGTAAAACTGTGGGGAGAAATCAATTAATCGTGAAAAATGTCAGGTGGTACACGTAAAACAAGATCCGTATCACGTGTATGACTCCACCGGCATAGTACTTAGAGCGTCTCTGACGGAGAAGGATTCGAACGTTTTAGTCCCTAAGTATTTAAATTCCTGCTCCAACTGTGACAGGAACTCATTTCGCCAGAACCTGGTGCCGGTAACTTGGATAAATTCTCAGATGGTCTGTTGGTAGATGCTTCCACCAAATTTTCAGTAGCTTCACGCGGCCGCACCTGGAGTTTCAGGCCATCGTCTTGCCCCCTCTCTTCAGAAGGACAAACTAAGCTTAGAACACATGCAGAGGCACCCGACAACATCTGTTCGAGGACCTAGACATAAAACATATGAAGAAGGGCTGGTTGCACCGGATCTGTCTCCTGGAGTACAGAAGGCTAAGAAGAGACTTTATGGTGACCCACAGCGTCCTACGCACCCCTGGACACCCGCTCCGTCACTCACTGAATCTTAGCTATGCAACTAGTCTTAGAAAATACGTACGAAAACTAAGCGTAGAACATAGAAGGTTAGATAACAGGTACTGTTTAAGGATTTTTGAGCCCCGAAATGCTCTTCCTGCAGGCGTGATGCGGGCCACTTCGTCCGAGTCCGCTAAGCGCCAAACGGACACGTGACACGTGGCTTCGATCGGCCCAGAACTAATTGAATTTTCACAACTTAACCGCTACTTTTTCCTCTCTCTTTCTTGTACACAGATTAACAGCCATAAGAAGTAGTGATCCACGGATTGTGGGCGTGAAAACCAGTTAAACGAAAGTTTCTATTCCAACAACAACCGTTTGAACCATTTGAACTTTTTGAGGACTTAGAGGACACTGCCGTTGAAAGTAGCAGGTTAAGTGTCAAGCGCAATTCTTGCCACCTAAAGGGGTGGTCCGGGCTATTTCGTCAAAGACTTTTGAAGGCCAAGTTGACATCTGCTTAATACATCGTCATTGACTGAACAGAAACCAGACTGCTTCTTCGGTTCACTTGAAATCATTTTCCGTGCAACTTGGTTTTCCATACAAGTCTCCAACTAAAGTAACTCTTGGTCCACAAGTGGTTGGCAGAAAGCTTCTTTAAGACTATCACCATTCGTCTGAAACACGAAGTAAACATCCAGAACTTCACTTGATCACAGTCGAAAGCAAGATAGCAGATGCGACATCCCTGCCCCCTACTGGAGGAAAATCAAAGAAGACGAACAAAGCACAAGAAGTGGACATTAAAATCATAAAACTAACACCGTGTTGTTTCCATGGATTAGGCATGCACAAGACTCAGAGGAAAACACATTGAAATTAACTGGTTACTACAGACTCATAAAACATGTTGATTATTTTTAAAGAAATGTGGGCGAGGAAACATCACTTTACGATTGAGAAGAAATATCCCGTCATCCACAGTGTTTGTGCACTAATTATCTGAATGTGAATTTTTGTAATGTCGACCGCATCTGTAGGTCTTCAATACGCTGCCTCCCCCAATACTCAAGAGAGGCTCTGATCTCCTTGAAAAAATACAAAGAACTACGGCAATATCGGTTGTGGAGCTAAGGGGAAGGCATGTCGTGAAAGACTTCAACACCTAGGCCCAATCACCTTGGGTTATCGCAGGAAGAAGGGTGACCTTATTATAGCATAAAAGATCGCCCATCAGGCAAACCACGCAAACAAATTAACCCTGACTGCAAAATAGTGGTCTTCACGAGGAAACCCAATTAAAAAAGCATACCAGAGAGCCAATACCATACTCAGGTCCAATTTTTCCCTCCTGAGAGTATGTGCTTTATGGAATGGCGTCCCGTGACATATCGTTATAGCCCCCCCAGTCGACTCACTCAAGAGACGATTAGACAGTTATGTCACCCCGCATTGGCAATTCCAACATACTTTTCGCTCTCTTTCATTTCTCTTCTTTACCCCCTTTTCTCTCCTTTCTTCCTTCTTTACCACTACTTTACTATTCTGTTTTAGGTACCTGTGCAGAGAGGAGTCGCGACAGTCCCCTAACCCTCCCAGTAAACCGCAGTTCCCCAATCACTCTACTAATTGCAACTTACTGACCCACAACACATCCACCTCACCGAAGCTGGAAGCAAGAAAGCAGATAAGATTTCCTCGTCCGCTGCAGGAGTGAAACGATCGGATCGAACCAAGTCCTAGGACTAGACGTGAAAGATCAAAAACTACCAGTTTTCTACGGCCGAACTATCAGTATGGGATTGGACATTGTATGCTGGCTCATAAGTTTGTTTAAACATGTGATTTTCAAGGTTGAAGTGCACGGTCTTATAATACCCGTCCTCCTAAGCGTTGAGCTGAATTTCCTGCGGCGATATTTTGTTTTCTTCAAGGTAGGTGTAGGGACTTAGGTTAGTAGTGGTTGACTTGCAGACAATGTATATTTTTTGTTGACTGTCAAGCGCTAGGTTCTAATCTACAGCAATCAGATGCGTAAGTTCAAGGTACCTAGATCTATATGTATATCAATTGATATACAGATTAATTTGATTTCCTCAAAGTAACAACCTGCATTTATGATCTTACCAGTTGTTTTGAGTCTTATTTTTATGGAGAATCATCAGATCCGAAAAGCTCGCTGCTGCTGCTGCAGCCGACTTAAAAGTGAGGTACACGGTCTGATTTGAAAATAGTTGTTCAGTCGAAAAACCCATTGCACAGTATGTACTGATATGCTTATGTATGTATACGCATGTTTGTATATTGAAACCTTGGTTCGGAACGCGTAGCGATACGTCAAGCAATCTAACAAGAAGTATTCATATTCCTCATACTTTTAGCATTTTCATTCGTTTCAGGAAACCCAGATAAGTCCGCCTGTAGTTCATTTTCTGCCAATATCTTTCATCTTATTTTGTATTGTAGTTCTCGTCAAGTGCATGTTGCTTGATTGTACACAATTGTTCTTATTCACTCGCATTTTCTACAACTATTTTCTCATTACTTTTTAGATCTGAAGCTTTTCTGGTCCGTGGCATCAATCCAAAACATTTGATATCAAGGCCGGTTGAGTAAACTTTTGAATAGCATTTTAAATAGCCCTAAACAATGTCTTCGTTTCTTGGTAAATGGAAACTCAGTGAATCTCACAACTTTGACGCTGTGATGTCCAAACTAGGTAACTGGTATTTCTCAGAAAATACAAGTCTTTATTTTTATCACTTAAGCTTCAAGTAACATTCATATATTCGATGTATGCTACTTACATCCTTATTTCGTGGTGTCATGTCCTTTGGTCTTGATTCTTTGGGACGTGTTTAATTATGCTCAATGCTGTCACATTCATGAGACCGTTATGTACTATTTCGAAATAAAATAAATGATTTTGTCAAAATAGACTAAGAATAGAATGAGGTGTCTAATATTGGGTCTTGTATATACATGGGGGGTTATGCCGAATGAATAAATGGTTTTTTTACTGGCTGCTATCCTTCCCTTTGCAGGTGTGTCCTGGGCCACCCGGCAGATTGGAAACACTGTAACACCAACAATGACAATTTCAATGGATGGAGATCAAATGACCATGTTAACAGAGTCGACATTTAAGAATACTTCATGTACCTTCAAATTTGGCGAAGAATTCAATGAAAAGACTAGCGATGGCAGAAATGTAAAGGTGAGCGGATTCCTTTCAACCTAATGCCCCAAATAATTTGAAGATTAAATGTCATCCACTTCTGCTAAAGCATCTATTTTTTGCTTACTAATCAATAGTATAACGTCTCCAAATGTCACATCATTGAATGAGACCTTGTTAGTGAAAGCATCTGCATCAGTGTATCAACTAGCCCTCTATAGTCTTTCACTTTTCAATCATTCCAAGTAGTTTAGCTTATGTTCAGTTGTTTTAAGTCCGGTTCAAAGGGGTGACGTCGTCGTAGGACGTATGGCGTAGGCGTATAGTCCCTGGGCCAACTCAAATTCCGCGCAACACACTATTCATATGCAACTCCATAAAACTAATATTACATCATGGTCATTTCCCTTCCTTTGTCTGGAAAATCTTGAATAACCTCGTATCCTGAGGTTAATTTGATATCTAATAGTTACTTATGAGGAAAAAGCAGACGTGTTTAGGTGACATGTATTCCTGTGTACTACAGAATTGCTCTAACTAACGCATAAGTACTAGTTGACCCTACTTCAAATGTTGTTCAAAACTATATTGTGCATATACTGATCTTTTTTCAATCCCCCCCCCTCCTTTCCATCTAGTCGACAGTTACCATGGATTCTGAATCCAGGCTGACTCAAGTTCAAGTAGATCCGAAAAATACAACTACCATTATTCGTGAAATAGATGGTGATACCATGAACACGGTAAGTATTCGTTGTTTCTTTTTCTCAAGTTATATCTTCATTTGCTCTTCAGACAGTAACTGTTGGTGATGTAACTGCTATACGAAAGTACAGACGATTATAAACAACCAGTCTCAAGATGAACACACTGACTGATATTGGATTTATGTTTATGGAGCTTTTTTGTACTATTTATTGTTATTCTGAGCATTGGTAAATATTTTAACACTCATGAGTCATTCTGTATCTGATTAATTGATTCAACTTCCATTTAATAAATGTCTTACCTTTATATTGTTGCATTCTTTGTATTTGGTTAGTTGGATGAGTGGCAGGGTTACGAGAACACGATAGTTGCTACCGCTTAAATACTTCTTGCATTTAATAACACTTATGGAAATATTATGAATAGGCTGACAGGCTGTTGAAAAGCATAGTTAATTTTCAGATACTTGAAAGCAGCAGAAAAAAGTCATTAGTCTTGAGTTGGGATAAATCTACAGATATTTGCTTAAGTAGGTACTTCGTCTTTCTGATAGGCTTTATTAAGAAATTCGAGGATTCCTTTCGAATGCCTAGCATTAACCCAGGTATGAAGTGGAGGTTACATTCTGTGTGCGAAAGTAGACAGAAGCTCAACGGAATGGAGTTGAAAAGTTATGATAACTAAATTCTGACACAGTGATCTGGTTATCGGGCAATCTATAGATTCAAAGTTGAGTCAAGAAAAAACAGTCTTCTACTTGCACTCAGCCACATTTTGCACAACCGCGTAGTAGGCAGTAAGCTACACCTGTTGTGTGAGGGCTAGTGGTACTACCTGGCTGCATAAACCTCGGTAGTTGGAACTGAGTTGAAACTCGTGACCCAATGGTTGATAGTTACTTCCCTAAACCACATCTCCACTCTTCTACTTAGAAGAAGCATTCAGCTAATACTTTGGTTTCTCAAGATTCTTCTGTGAAACTGCAAAACACGGCAAGATGCAGATCTCTAATTATTTCTCAATAGATGTCTAGGTTATGCATATTGGTTCGCTGACGGGAACCGAGCAAAACTACCTTACCTAGAGTTTTAGCTTACCAGCCTTTTTAAAATTATCAGTACGAATAGTCAACAATACTTCTTCCATTTTAGTATTTTATTAGAAATATCACACAGTGAAACAGTAGCATTTACTGGATAACGTCTCGGACATAATTTATTGTCCATATTCATATCAGGTAACTCCACAACTTCGAAACAGTCTTTATATATTCCTAGTTTTCTCTCGTTCTCTGTAATGACAAGAGTAATAGAATTTTCCATATATCTGGGACAGGTGTACAATCATTTCGATTTATGTGTTTGGTGTTGATTCGATAAAGAAAGATTCAATCGGTCATCAATCTCTCCCTCCACCTAACTAAATTAGTTTTCAACACTGTCACCTATCCCACCCTACTGTGTGATTGTGTGTCATCGTATGCAGAGCTATAGCTGAGTTCTTCTCTAAATTTATTATCTTATTAGGATCTACTAATCTTGACTTAGCTAAGTTTTTGTGCTCTGTTATTCCAATCGACCCTGTCTGGTCGACTGTTTTGACCTATATACTTGACCTCGCAATCATTGCAAGGGATCTGGTAAACCAGATTATTTTGCTGAATTGCATCGATAGGATCTTTTAACCTACAAAGCTTGTTTCTAAGTGAGTATGTTGGTTTGAATGCCACTTTCATCGCAGCCATCCTTATTCAGAATTCTTCATAGTGCTTCTGAGGTGCCTTATATGGTAACACAGCAGAGGCTTTGAATTCTCTCTTAACCCTGTCGCCATTATTACCACCGTTAGTAGTGGGATTATTATTAATAACATCTATATTACTCACTTAGAAACAAGCTTTGTAGGTGAAAAGATCCTATCGATGCAATTCACCAAAAATCAATTAGCTGTTACACTGATGGAAAACTATCGGCAAAAGTGTATAGTGTTTGTAACGTATCGGAAATAGCCAATCAGATAGAGGTTGAAGTAAACCTGATTATTGACGATTTCCTGAGAAAGATGATGCTATTCCTTTCTGTACCATAGATACAAAGGAACGCCATCAGATGCCTTCATCACAAAGATCTGTGTGCAATGACCAACACAGTAACGTATTATTAACTACCGTTCAGTTGTCCTTTAATAGGAAACTCAAGGTGCCAAAAAAGTAGGAATTACTATTGTAGCGTCACAAACTTTCCCAAAATCAATAGCCTACGGTTTGACGACTTTCCACATTCATGCTGACCTTGATAGTTTTAACTGGACTCTCTAAGCTGAAGGCACCCGGTCAAGCATCCTCGCCATTTGGCAAGCTGTCCTGTTACGTTGCATTGCTCGTATTCCACTCTCTAGCCAGTTAGTTGGAAAGCATCGGTATTTTGGCACAACCATCCAAATATACTATTCCATCCGACTACGCTATTATGTTCTTCCTTGATCTCGTATTCGTGGGTATATAACAAGTCGGAATAATTAGTGATTGGTGTTTGCGTCTGTCAAGTTGGCACCAGGGCAAATCCTAAACTATTTTGACTTTATGCTGACATAGTAGTGATTTACATCATTCTGGAAGCTGGAGATACGCTGTCTCTCAACACTTGTCAATAACTTGACAGTCCGTTTAGTTATCATCATTGTATCTGTCAATAGTGTTTTATGATCGACATAGTTTGGTGACAAGGTAAATAGTAGTGGGAAATGAGACAAAATCAAACATCGCATAATCTGAACAGAGTTGAAGGCCAGAAAATAGACTCATTTAAACAAATCAATCTTATGACCTGATATCAAAAGGGAGTGGTATGTTTACTTTTTTTAGAAATTAAACTTCTTATAAACGTGACTTGTAAAATGTATATATATGTTTTTAGTCATCAAACGAGTACTAGCGTGTTTCTGATGTTTTGTTTGTTATATGCCATCAGAAATTTCTTGATATATAGGTTAAAACATGTCAATTTTATGATGTGTAGGAAAGCGATTTGCAGAATTCCTCACGTTGAATACACGATGGCGGCCTTGACAATTGTTGTGAATCATTGACCAATCAGAGTAGCTTAAATCCTTTAAGTAATTCTGTCCATAAGTTATTATTATTATTTGTCCCTTGGGTTCCTAATGGAACACACGGCTTCACTAGCACAGCTCCATTCCATTCTGTTCTCTGAAATCTTTTGAACCTGGTTCCACGACAGCCCACAACCTCTCATTTCCTCCTCACACGATCTCCTCCATGTCACCCACACCTCCGACGTCCAACTCGTCACTTCCCATCCAACTTCCATTCAAGCAACTGGCCTAGCCTGACATGTGATGTCCCCAGTCGGCCTTCTCAGTGTATGCCCAGTCCATCTCCACTTCGTTCCACTGCATATTTGGTTGGTTGGTTGCCAGGCAGAGTTCCTTGTTGCTTATTCTCATTATTCTGGCCATGCATCTGACCTTCATTAACAAGGCGGCAGTTGTTGATGAATGTCTGTAGTTTGTTGGAAATGCCTTTCGTAACACACCAAGTCTCTCAACCATCACACAGAAGCACTGACTTGACAAGTTGGTGTTGAAAATCCGGATGTTGTTCCACATGGTGAGTGCAGTGCAGAAGATCTCCACACTGGTTTCAGGCTAATGAATGCCTGTCTTGCAGTGTTTCCGACCCTGTCTGGCTTTGACATCCTCCTCTGTCCCTGTGCCACCTGTAGTTGAAACAGTGCTGGTTAGATGGGTGAAAGAGGCTACTTCTTTTAAGATTCTCCCACTGATGGTGATTGGAGTCTGTTGTTGGTGGTGGTGGTGTTGGTTAGGCATCTTCACCACCTCTGTCTTCTCTATATTCACTTGAAGTCCCGTCTTCACTGCATAAGTATTTAGTTGACCTTTAAAATCACCCTATGATATTGATTACATTGTCTTGATTAGAATGAAACTAGTAATCTGAAACAATTAGTCCCCTTATAACTTTATTAGAAGACGAACAATATGACCACACACTTACTTGTCAAGTTAATTTATGTCTGCCAAAAACGGGAAAAAGAATAAAGTTAGTAAATAAATACCATGGAAATTATCAAAATCATTTATAAAAAGAATTTGTTTAAAAGTGTGCAAACATTTTTCAGTTTAAATTCTGAATAACTTTGATGACCACCCAAACAATGATTGAAGTAGGTCGTCAACTTATCAACATGATACAATGTTCAATCAATTTACTGATAAACTTATGGACTAGTATTTCAGATGGTCTACCGACTGAATTACACTACATTTATACTTTACACCTCTAAAGTTCGCTTCAGACGTCACTAAGTAAGTTTTTCTCACTATCATCTGAAGCATATCTGTTCCTTATCATAATTTGATTAATGATAATCATATTTTTTGTTTAACTGAACCAATCTAGTGGTGAGAGTTGTTCAATGAAAGGTTATCAATCTCAAAGTATCAACAAGGTGATAATTGATCAGGTGATTAAGACAGTTAACTAAAGCAAAGATTAATTATAGTAGAAAGATTTTGTGAACAGGTTCTTACATAATTGATATTTTGTATAATGATAACTAAAGAGCGAAAATGAACTGTTACGTAAAATGGTAAATTGTTGACGGTAATTAGAGACAGTAGGGGGAGAGAAAGATGATAATAATAATAATAAAATAATAATAATAATAATGGAGCTATTAAAATATTGTGTTGTGGATGAAATGAAGAGTCTTGTTGTAATAAATGAGCTATGCAGATGGCCAAGGCAAAGAAAGAGGCTGTACGAATATCTTCTGAACACACAGACTTGGCTTGTGTAGGTGGATTCCTATGGCTTCTGCTGTATGTAAAAGACGAACTCGTAGAGGATGGGTGAGGTGAGAAGGAATGTGATAAATAACTTTAAAGGCATTATGAATGTTAACTCGGTGGCCGTGTCAATCAGATGAGAGAGTATTGAGCTTTGTATCAATCTGGTTTCCCCCTTACTTAGCTATGAAGGATGATGCTCGGCGATTCGACGACGGACTTGCCTAACTGTACGTCCAATGTAACTAGCTCCACAGGAGCAGTTGAACTGGTAAATGCACATAGAAGAGGAGAAGTCAGGGAGTCTGTCTTTAGTTCGTGTGGTCATCATCGGCCGGCTGTAGAAAACACAACATAACTTGGTGGCATTAAATGATCTTCTTATGGCATTTCTTAAGCGTTGTGTCACAATTTCGCTGATGATGTCACCTCGAAATTGTAGTCTTAGGAACAATGGTTTCTTGGAGACTGTAGGCAT